GAGCATCTCATGCACAAGATGGGTTAAATCTAGTATTGGAAAAGGAAGCATAAACTTGGCCTGTCTTAGTGGAATTGAGAAAATTTACAATATATTTGAAATTCCTCCATGAGATATAACACAAGGTGTAGAGAAAGCATATCCATAGAAAAGCTTTGAGAGGGTCTCAGACTCACTGGTCAGGCTGTTTGGTGAAGCCATTCATTTTATTTTCAATAGTGTAGTTTAACATTAGTTTTTCTTTGCCCCTAGAATCCTTTGTGCTGGCGGTATTGTCCCACAAGGTCATATGTTAATGGATAATGAATTAAGAGTAAAGATTGGATCCAACTACAGTACCCAGGAGGTGGACCAGGTGTGAGGACTTTTAGTCATGAGGTGTGTGTGCTTGGAAGATAGTTCTTGTAAGATAGTTGATTAAGAAGTCTGAGTTGGACCTAGAGCAGTCTGTTCCTTGGCTTGCCATGTGATTCTCCATCCACACGCACTTTGCTCTCCACCACCCTTATCAAACAGCAATCCCATGAAGCCACTCAGTCACGGACTATGAAACTCCAAAACCGCCAGTAACAACAAACCTTCATTCAAAAGTAGCTTCTCTGGGATATTTTGGTTATAGAGATGAAAAGCTAACTAACAAAGATTAAAATAGGTGACTGCTTCTGCAAATATGAAAAAAGGAGGAAAAACTTTAAGAAATGTGAAAAGTCAGGTCCAGCATGGTGGCCTAGCAGCTAAAGTCCTCGCTTTGAATGCACCAGGATCCCACATAGGTGCCAATCCTGATAGCCCCGCTTCTCATCCAGCTCCCTGCTTGTGGCCTGGGAAAGCACTTGAGGATGGCCCAAAGCCTTGGGATCCTGCACCCGTGTGGGAGACCCAGAGGAGGTTCCAGGCTCCTGGTTTCAGATCAGCTCAGCTCAGGCCCTTGAGACCACATGGGCAGTGAATCATTAGACAGATCTTTCTCTCTGTCTCTCCTCCTCTCAGTATATCTGCCTTTCCGATAAAGATAAAATAAATATTTAAAAAAAAGAAACGTGAAAAATCAAGAGAGTATGACAATACCAAAGAAGCAATAATATTGCGTGACTGAATAAAAAATAGAAATAACTGTTTTGAAGAAGTTCAGTGAACTACAAGGCAACATAGATAGGCAACTCCAAGAAATTAGAAAAACAGTATGAGAACAAGGTGAGTCCAGTAAAAGAGAGAAATTGGGGCTCATGCTGTTGTGTAGCCTGCTACAGATTCATAAAATTTTAAGTTCTGCTGCTATTGATTTGGGCCAGACCACATGATTTCACAAATCAAATGATTTCTACAGCTCCTGGGCTAGACATTCCCCACCCTGATGGGACCATAAAGACTCCACGTAGCTAAATTAGTCTTTACTAGGAAGTGCAAAGGTGAAGATCGCACACGCCCTTATTTCAAATTAGATTGAAAAACTATAGGAATCAAATAGTACAGTGATGCCATAAAGAAGTAAGTACATAAACCAATGGGACAGAACAGAAAGCCCAGGAATAAGCACATTCACATGAAGTCAACCAGTCTTGAATAAAGGTGCAATGAATATAAATGGAGGAAGAAGAATGTCTTTGATAAGTAATGTTGAAAACAACTGGATATCCACATACTGACAGAGAGAGAGAGACAGAGAGAGAGAGAGACAGAGAGAGAGAGAGAATGCTTATCTTACATCATAGTTAAAAATCAACTCAAAATTGAAGAAAATTTTAGATCTAAAACCGGAAACCATAAAACTCCTAGAGGACAACCTCCATGACACTGGTCTTGGCAATGATTTTTTTTTAAAGATTTATTTTATTTTTATTGGAAAGTCAGATATACAGAGAGGAGGAGAGACAGAGAGGAAGATTTAACATCTAATGATTCACTCCCCAAGTGAGCGCAACGGCCAGTGCTATGCCGATCTGAAGCCAGGAGCCAGGAACTTCTTCCGGGTATTCCACATGGGTGCAGGATCCCAAGGCTTTGGGCCATCCTCGACTGCTTTCCCAGGCCACAAGCAGGAAGCTGGGTGGGAAGTGGAGCTGCCGGGATTAGAACTGGCACCCATATGGGATCTCAGCGCGTTCAAGGTGAGGACTTCAGCCTCTAGGCCACGCTGCTGGGCCCCGGCAATGATTTTTTTGATGACAGCAAAATACAGGCAACAAAAGCAAAGCAAAAAAAATATGTGGGATGGCACAGAACTAAAAAGCTTATGTGCAGCAAGGAAAGCAAGCAACAGAGTGAGAAGACAGCACACTGAATAGGAGAAAGTATTTGCAATATGATTGTATGTTACAAAGAGTTAATGTGGAAGATCTCTAAGGAACAGTCCAATTCAATAGCATGAAAAAGAGTACAGTCTTAAAAGCAGGTAGGGGCAGACATTTGGTGCAGGGAAGCTAACATCACATGGTAGAGTGCCTGATTTTGAGTCCAGCTCCATTTCAATTGCAGAGTCCTGTGGGTACACACCCTGGGAGGCATGTGAGGTTACAGTGATGTACTGGGGCTTCTGTCACCAACGTGGGGTATGTGAACCGCATTCCCAGCCAGTTCCTGGCTTCAACCTGGTTCAACCCTGCTGTCAGCATGTGGGAAGTAAACCAGTGGACAGAAGATTTTCTCTCTCTTCTCTTTCCTACCTTTCCAGCAAAATGAGGAAGGAAATAATGCTTTTTATTGAATATTATTCAAAAAAAGAAAAACAAACAAACAAACAAAAAACATTACTTGGGATTTCTGCATCCCTTATTGGAGTGCCTGGGGTTCCAGTGCCAGCTCTATTTTCTTTCTCTTTTTTTTTTTTTCCAGAGCTATTTTTATTGGAAAGTTAGATAGAGAGGAAGAGAGAGAGAAAGGAAGTTCTTCTGTCTGATGATTCATTCCCCAAGCGGCCACAACAGCTGGAGCTGAACCAATTCAAATCTAGAGCCCGGAGCCTCTTCTGGGTCTCCCATGCAGGTGTAGGGTCCCAAGGCTTTGGGCCATCCTTGACTGCTTTCTCAGGCCACAAGCAAGGAACTAGATGGGAAGTGAGGCTGCCAGGATTAGAATATGGGCATCCATATAGGATCCCATCATGTGGAAGGCAAAGACTTTAGCCACTAGACTAATACGCTGGGCCCCCCAGCCTTACTTTCAATTCCAGCTCCCTGTTAATATGCACCTCCGGCAAGCAGTAGGTGATTGCTCAAGTGTTTGGGTCCCTGACACATACATTGATGTTAAAATCCAGGCTCCCTGTCTTATCCTCACCCAGCCTCTACTAGAGGGAAGGTTTCTCTATATGTTTCTCTCCGTCTGCCTTCTTTTCACGTAAAATTAAAACAAATAACATTAAGAATTTTAACTAAAATACACAAACAGCTGAATACACTTTACTCCTAAGAAGACATGCAAATTAGACAACAGATACAGAAAAAAGTGCTCAACACCACCGAACAGGAAACTGCATGAAAGTCAAATGAGAAATTGTCTCACCTGCTAGGAGGGCAGTAATGAAAATCGCAAAAGACAACAAGTGTTGGTACAGATGTGGGAAAAGGAAATCTTTATATGCTGTTGGAAAAATATAAATGGGTACAGCCACTATAAACGGTTTCAGGTTCCCTCAAAAATATTTGAAATAGAATTATGATATAATCCAGCAATCCCCTTCTGGATACACAATCAAGGGAAATAAAAATCACTATCTCAGAGAGCTGTTTGTACTCCCATGTTCATTGCTGAATTGCTCATAATAGCCAAGATATGGAAACAGCCTAGTGTTCAGCAACACGTTAAGTGGATAAAGAAAACGTGGTGGACGAGTTCATTACCTTATGGCTGTAAGAAAGAAGGAAATCCTACCACTTGCTACAACATAAATAAACCTGGAAGAGATTGTGTCTCGTTTATTCCAGCCAGATGCAGAAAGTTAAACACTTAGTTACTTAAATGTGGAAACTTGGGGGGGGGGGCGGGAACTCATAGAAACAATTTCAGAGTGGTTACCAGGATGTGGGAGGAGTGAGGGAGGAAGGAGACATTGGTCAAAGGGCAAGCAGTTGCAGCTATAAAACAAGCAAAGTAAATTCTAGGCCAAACATACAGTATGGTGACTGTGGGTAACAAATGATGAACTGTATACTTTAAATTTGCCAGGAGAGTAGATCTTGGGTATTTACATCACAAAGAAGAAAATAGAACTTGTGGAGTGATCAATATTTTAACTTGAGTGTGGCAGTCATCTTACAATACATACCTATATCAAGCCATTACATCATACTCCTGGAATTCTATCATTTTTGTCAAGTATAATTCAGTAAATCTGAAAAGCGCACAAATACACAGAAAATAAATACCAAAATGGCAGACATAAATATAACTACTTTGAGAATCACGTTAATACGAGTGAACTAAAAGAAACCCAATAAAAAAGGCAGAGATTGTCAATCGTGCAAATTCTCAGATTCTCCCTTTTATTTATATTTTGGAAAATATTAGAGGTATATTATGGGATTAAAACAGGAAAGAAAAGCAAATGGCATTCAGGAAAGAAGGGATCCAAGACAGCAAAAAGGCACATAATTTGAAAGGCAGTGCTTGGTGTTCCAGGAGGACAGATAGATACCAGGCTCCATTTGTAACAGGTTGAAAAGTTCTGTAAAAGAATATGCTAGGAGTAAATTTAAACCAATAAAGGTTATTTGGTGCTAAAATAGTTGGACAGATCTATTTGGTCTTATGTTTGAAAACCTAACAAAATTGTTATATGGGAGATAAAAGCGAAACAAGACAGCTTTGGGCTTCAGAACAAAACCAATGTTGAAGAAAACATAACCCATGGTACGCAGCTTGGATCAGAATTCACTCATTATGCAAATATTTGTTACATGTGCCCCATATGTTGGGCCCTGTTGCAAACACTGTGAATATCATAATAATCAAATTGATGAAATCTCTACTTCCATGGAGGCTTTGCCTTCAGGTGGATGCAGACAGGTGCTTCATAAAAAAGGAGAGGGATCTATAATATCAGATAATAATTCATACTTGGAGGAAAATTTGCAAGTTCTCATGGATTGAAAAGGGGTGCAGATCTGCCAGTTTTCATGGAATAGTCAAGAATTAAAGAGCCATTTCAGCAGAGACATGAATAAAGTGATGGAAGTAACTGGAGATTCTCGGTGGGGGCCGCTGTTCTAGAAAGAGCAGGTCATGTAGGATCCTGATTCAGGAAGGAACTAGACCCACCTGTCTGAAAGCACAGCGGGGCTCGGGGTGGCAGGGGGCAAGTGCTTAGTGAGACTGATCAGACAACCAGGGCCAATTCATAAAAAGTCCAATTAGCTCTGGTAAGGACTTTGGACTTATAGAGCCATAAGAAAGACATTGATGAGATAATGAGCATAATGCGATGATTGTGAAAATGGATGGGTACACAAGAGGGAAAGGTGGTTTAAGAGGACTCCAGGACATTGACAAATAGCACTTGACACTGGTAAGCCAACAAATGGCACAAAGCAAGTAGGATTCTGTTTTGTAAATCATCAGAGGAAGCAGCTGAAAGAGTTCAAAGAGTCTTCTCTAGGTAGCATGGTGGGACTCTGCTTTTCCTGATAAGATTTTCATGGTATTTGACTTTTGAATACCATAAGCTCATTGAAGTTCCTGATAAAAGGTATCGTCCTCAGTGTGTAGGATGTGAAACAACCCTGACCTTCCAGCTGGTAACAGGATTAGCCAACGGCCATAGGTAAAACAAGCTATGCACATTGTGGGCTCTTTGAGTTCCTGAATGGTCTCTTCTAGCTCTTATTTTTCGAAGTTGATGAACACTGACATTGTGCTCTCACTTGTACATCTCTGATAAGAAAGACATAACTATCAGTTACATCATATTGACAATCACCCATTTGTCTCTTTTGCCCATTTTTTACAAGATTTCTTTATTTTTATGGAAAAGGCAGATTTACAGAGAAGGAAAGACAGAAAGATCTTTCAGCGACTGGCTCACTCTCCAAGTGAGCACAACAGCCAGGGCTGAGCAGGTCCAAAGCCAGGAGCCAGGAGCTGCTTCTGGGTTTTCCACATGGATGCAGGGTCCCAAGGGCCATCCTCTGCTGCTTTCCCAGGCCACAAGCAGGGAGCGGAATGGGAAATGGAGCAGCCAGGACATGAACTGGCACCCATATGGGGTCCCGGTGCATACAGGGTAAGTATTTAGCCACTGAGCCTTCACACCAGGCCCTGCTTCTTATTCTATGGGTTTTTTGTTTTGTTTTGTTTTTTGTTTTGGTTTGGTTTTTTTCTATTACATTAAAGCATATTAGTGGGTCTGGTGCATTGACTCAATTGGCTAATCCTCCCCCCTTCAAGCACTGTGATCCCATCTGGGCATCAGTTTGTGTTCTGGTTGCTCTACTTCCCATCCAGCTCCCTGCTTGTGGCCTGGGAAAGCAGTCGAGGATGGCCCAAAGCCTTGGGACCCTGCACCTACATGGGAGACCCAAAAGAAGCTCCTGCTTCCTGGCTTTGGATTGGCTCAGCTCCGGCCAATGTGGCGACTTGGGGAGTGAGCAAGTGGATGGAAGATCTTTCTCTATCTCTCTCTCTCTCTCTGTAAATCTGCCCTTCCAAGAAAAATAAATCTTAGGAAAAAAAAAAAAAGAAAGAAAGAAAAAAGCATTCTAGTGTAGTAACAACTCACTGTAGAGCTACTAGATTTCTTTGATTTTTTTATTGCCTTGTTTAATGATATATTAAAATCTGCTATGTAATTGAGTGTTTTTCTAGTTTCCTTGTGTGTTTACATTAGGAAGATTTCTTTACATTAACATTCGTGTCTCCTCTACCCTCAGCTGTGTTTCAAAGCTGACAGGTCTGTAGCATTTGCCTTCCTAGAAGGCACAGTGACCCACAAAGCTTCTTGGACGAAAACTTCACACTGTGGCTTGTGTTGTGGAATCCTTGGGCATGCAATGGACTTTCTGACAAAAACGTGTTTAAGTTGCCTTCCTTCAGCCACCTGACAGCTGTCCTCTATTCTTCAGGTGTCCCAGGACCCTGATGGCGAACTTCAAGGGCCACGCTCTCCCAGGAAGTTTCTTCCTGATAGTTGGACTATGGTGGTCAGTGAAGTTCCCGCTCAAATACTTCCACCAGAAGAGAAAGAACAGCAGACTGAATTACCACTACCAACGTCTCGAGATCATCGAAGCTGCGGTCAGGACCGTGTTTTCGCTCATTGGTAAGAGCAGGGGTTATATTATCCAGATAAGCAAAAATCAGTTTCTTTTGGTACTAAACAACAAAAAAAGATTCCATGCATCTACAGTGTTTTCAAAAAGCTCAAGGAGTTAGTTTTGTTGTGCAGGAAAGCTGCCCCTTGCGACAATGGCATCCCATCCATTTAGGAATGTCAGTTAAAATCCAGGATGGTAAGCTTCCCATCCATCTCCATGCTAATGCATCTGGGAAGACAACCGATGGCCCAAGTATGTCCTATCCACGTGGGAGACCCAGGATGAAGTTCCTGATTCCTGGACTCAGGCTGGCCCAGTCCTGACTGCTGTGCCCATTTGTAGCGTGAATCAGTCAACTGTGTTCTCGTCCTCTCTATTGCTCTTTCAAATAAACTTTTTTTTTTTTTGCTTTTTTTTTAATTGATTACATTGCATTATGTGACACCGTTTTATAGGCACTGGGATTCTCCCCTCACCTCCCCAACCCCGTCCCCACCCCCTCATGGTGGATCCTCCATCTTGTTGCATCACCACAGTTCAAATTCAATTGAGATTCTTTCATTGCAAGCATCTACCAAGCATAAAGTCCAGCATCTTATTGTCCAAATAAGTTCAACGGTTTCTTGGGGAGACCATCTCTGGTCTGAAGATAGAGCCAGCAGAGTATTATCACAATCAATTAAAAGCCCCGACATTACATCAGTAACTGTTTATAATGTTATGGAATTAGTTGACATGATATTGAGTAATCAATATGTTAAAAGAGAAAAAAAAAAGAATGCAAGTTCTGAACCACATCCTGTGACTTCCACATTGACATTTCAATTATTAGTTTATATACAACTGGTTTCTATACACCTTAAAATGGCTATAGTTTACTATTCAGCTGTCTCATGTCTATTTTAATTTTAGTATTTAGCAGTTTATAGCAATGAAGCATGATTTTGCTGAACCTGGCTGTTTTTCAGGTAGTCTAACTCTATAACTCTAACAGGACATATGTCAACAGTTTAGGTGAACAGTTTTAGGAGGGGTGTGCAGAGAAATCTACAATACCCTAAGAAGGAGTACCTAATCTTTGTGTCCCACCCAGTGAATTATAACTGCTTCCCCACTGACCGTTTCCTGTCTGAGTCTAAGCTTTCCTTGTTGTTCTCTTTCTATTCTAGTTTTTTTTTGTTTGTTTGTTTCTTTTTTTTTTAAGAGGGAAAAATAAAAGGAACTTCAAACCAGAAAAACCTAGGGAAGGTATAAAAGAAAAAAAAGATCATGAAAATGCACATTGTTTTGTTCATTTAAAATATATATCTGAAAGGTAGGATGACAGAGGGAGAGACAGCGAGCTCTTGCACTTGCCGGTTCACTTCCCAAATGGCCACAACGGCCAGGGCTGAGTTTGGCCAAAAGTCAGGCACCTAGAATGCCGCCCGGGGCTCCTACATGGGACTCAAACCAGCAATCACACAGGATGCCTCCCTCACAGCTCAACCCATATACCATAACAGCCCCCAAAATTTATATATATGAATGTCAACACTTTTTAAATACTGAAAAAACCTTGCATTTAAATCCATTTTCTCATTAGCTTTCTAAAGTCCCCATTAGATATTCCCACTGGCAAAGACAACACGACAAGGGCTTCCAGGTGCTCATTAGGCTCTTCTAAGAACCATAGCATCCACTGTGTGCAGTTTGATAATATGAACAGTTAACAGCACCTTCTGTCGTAGTGCACAAAGAAAAGCTACCAAATAAACTGCATGTTTTGCCAGGAGGACATGGCTTTGGAAAGTTTAAGAAGAACACATACTAGATGGAAAACATATAAAATGAAATAGAAAAAGAACAGCAAATGGATGACATTCAGGTATATAGGTCATGATAAAGTACCAAGTGGAGTTTAAAGAAAATTTAATCTCTTCTTTCCTCTCCTCCTGTTGCCTTTCCCTCTAGAGTCTCAGAGTAGGTGACTCAGGGGGCACGGCAGCCATTTCAGAGAAGGGAGATTATGCTAGAAGCCTAGGGAGGCAGGCAATAAAAGACTGAGGGCTGTCACAGGGAGATGTTCCTTTTGTCAGGCCTTTTACACTAAAATCCACCCAATGCAGCCCCTGAGGAATGATCCATCACCTCAGGATCAGCCCAACTCATGGGCAAGCAGCGATCTTACCCTACACATGCACTCCACCACCATCACCTCTGGCTCAGTTTCTCAGAGGAAATGGAACAGGGACAGTGTCTTCTCTTGCACTGAGCCAGGCTTCCCTAGGTTTGCTTGCCTAGTCAGCTGTTTCTGATGCTGAGCAATGACAGGGCTCATATGGCTTTGCTGGAGAGGACAACAGGCACACAATGAAAGCCACGATATTCCATTTGGCCTCTTATTTTTTATTCTCAGTGATTATTACATAGTTGAGAGCGATGCATACATATGTGGGCTTCTGATTAGGGTAGAGAGGATTGAGTTGTGGAGAAAGCAGGTGAGATAAATGTTTCAGTTCTTTTATTTTTCCTCCCATATCTGCAGTGGGGTAAGTGGAGGAAGCTGCCCCTTGCTGTCAGACTACACTAGCACCTGGGAATGAGATATGGTTGTTTGATGACACCTTAAAGACTCCAATGTGGGGAAAGCGTTCCAAGGGTGTTACTTGAGTAGTTTTGATAGTTGACACCAGTCTTCACACACACGGGTAGTTGCTGTGCCCTAGACAGATTGACCCCAGGCCCATTTCCAGTTCTGTTTTTGTTTTTGAATGAGCTGATAGGTGCCTTTTCCTAGCCCGGCCCAGTCCATCACCAGCCCTGGCTCTCATATGAACTGAGATGCTGCAGCCTAGACTAGTTCAGGCTATTCTCCATCCTAGCTCTCCTATGTGCTGGCAGGATGCTGCAGCCTTGATCAGCCTGGTCCAACCCTAGTACTCCCTCTCATACTCATCAATGGGAGCTGCAGCCTAGTAGGGGAGTCCCCAAAGTTCCCTTACCAGGCTTGCTCCAAGCCCTGAATCTTACATGTGCTGGCATGTGCTGTGACTCTATTTGGCATGGTCTGCTCCCAGTCCCAGCAATTGCAGGTAGATGCTGTGGTTTATCCTAGTCCAGCCTGCCACCAAACCTGGTTCTCAATTCACCAATGGGTGCTACAGCCTGACACAGCCTGGCCTGTTCCAAGATCTCACAGGTGTCAGCAAGTGCCACAGCCTTGCCTAGCCTGGCCCACCACCAATCCCAGCATTCGGGCACATTGGTGCTGCAGTTCAGTAGGGGAGAGCCCACAAACTCCCTACTGAATCACCCCAGCCCTGGTTCTCCCCTATGCCTGTAAATGCTCCAGCCGAGCCAGATATGATCCAACCCTGCTCTGGCATTCACCAGTGAGTGTCACAGCCTAGACCTGTCCATCCTGCCCTCCAGCCCCAGCTTTTATGTGTGCTGGCAGGCAACACAAGCTAACCCAACCCAGCTCTTCAATGTAGGTGAGTGCTTTGGCCTGATCCAGACCTGCCCTCCAGATTCCCCTTCCTGAACCACCCCACCCCTGCTCCCTTGATTATACCTCCAAGTGTAGCGGCCTGGTCAATGTAAGCCCACTGAAGTTACACCAGTCAAGCATGCCCTCAATGGCCCCTGTTCAGATATGTTCCCAGACTCCCTTCCCCAGACAATTTGCACCCTCTCCACTCCCTGGTGGCATTGGCAGGGTCCTGCACCAATATTTGACTTCTTGGCTCTGTGAAAATGATACTATCTTGCTGATTCTTACCAGGCACCAGGAACCCACTCTCAATAGGGAAACAGTCCATTTTTTAAAACTGGGACTTTTCCTGGTCCCCCCCCCCCATTAATGATGCATTAATGAATTCAGAACAGAGCTAATGGGAGAAACCAGTGTTTAGGGATCACAGTTCAGAACATTGCCATGGATGGGTGTGTTGAGGCATCTCCAGGATTACCTCTGGCACAAAGCACAGAGAGCAATCCTCCACTACCCATTAAGAAACCAGAAAGGACAGAATTTCACCACCCCTCTGGCCTCATCTAAGATACAGCATGGCCAGGAACACATTGCAAGATATTCACTTTGTTCTCCCAGAGTTTTAAAAAGCTGGAGGTAGCCCTTGGGCTCACAGGTTCACTCTGTATCAAGAAGGGGCACCCATTGGAAGCCTATTCCAACAGACACAGCCCTGAGAGCTGCTTCTCTTCAAGGAAGTACAGGGATCTTCACCACAAACATATCTACTCCGATCCTATCTCCAACCTTCAAATGAGTCCTTTCTGGAATCCCTTTTGCTGCCCAAGATCCTTCATCTCTGCTGATGCTGCTGGACAAACTTCCTGTGGACCTTCTTGCAGCTGCGTTTCTGCTACACCTTCCTACCCCATGCCCAACCCTCTAAAAGGAACAACAACTAGATGTATGGCAAAGCAATTTATCCTGAAGTAGCTGTACCCAAAGCAGCCACGTATATCCACTTGCCCATGGCTGTCATCCACATCTCCCCTCTGGGCAGGGCTTTGGTTATTTTTTGCTGACTCCTCTGAGTCTCAGAGCCACCCTATAATTTCTCATTTCCACTCCTGTTTTCTTGCAGGAATTCTGGCAGAGCAGTTTGTTCCAGATGGGCCCCACCTTCACCTCTACAATGAAAAACAATGGGTGAAGTTAATGAACTGGCAGCACAGCACCATGTACCTGTTCTTTGCAGTCTCAGGAATTGTTGATATGCTCACCTGTTTGGTCACCCACATCCCCTTGGGGGTGGACAGACTGATCATGGCCATGTCAGTATTTATTGAAGGTAAGAATGGGTGGAGAAAAGGAAGGAAACTGACAAGTTGGATTTGTAAGAACACAAATATAATCATCTTTCCCACAAAACCCACCGATCTGGACTTCCCAAATCTGAAAATGCTCTGTATGGTGCAGGTGACAGATCCTACAGGGTAGCTCCCAAAGCCACTTAATTACACTCCATGCATGTGTGGTACGCACACAAGTAGGCACACAGAAAACATCCTGGAGACAGGTGGAGTGTCACCATGCAAGGGATACCTCCATTTGGTTAGGGAAGGGAGGCTCTGCACTCTACCTCACCTCCCTCCCAGATCCCAGGAGGCATATCCAGCTAACAGCTCTCCTAAAGGCATAACAGTCACTCAGATGGGAAGACCCGACCACCCCATTTACTTCTATACCTCAGGGAGAGGTGAAAAGCTGAATAAGGGCGACAATGAATTTGAAGTATACACACAGTTTATTGCAAACATGTCTTATCCACAACCCTGAGCCTGCTGTGACCCCATGAATTTAGTAAACAGGTTTACAAGGACACATCCTTCTCACACACCCATGAAGTGAACCTAACCTGCCTCTGGCTTTTGTTCTTCCCTGTTAGGTATTCTGACCCTCTAATGCTGAAGAGAAGTATAGGAGGAAACTCCAGCAGTGAGCTTTCGGAAGTAGAAAACAAGTCTTGATGGTTGTTATTTGGTTTGTGACAGGTTTTCTCTTCTATTACCATGTTCATAACCGACCTCCATTGGACCAGCACATCCACTCCCTGCTGCTGGTTGCTTTGTTTGGAGGGAGTGTCAGTGTCTTCCTGGAAGTGATCTTCCGTGACAACATCGTGCTGGAACTTTTCCGAACCAGTCTCGTTCTTCTGCAGGGGACCTGGTTCTGGCAGGTGATTATTTATACCAATGCCTCTCAGGTAGTCCGAAGGGCCCCACCCCTGGGCATGTGTCTCCTGAAGGGACATGCTGCCCAAGAACACAGCACTGGCATTCAAGGGAACAGGGGTGGGTGGCCCTTTTCTTTTGGTCTATCCAATTTTAACTACTAACTGATGCATTAGCAAGCAGATATATGTGAAACAAATGGGGGCACCTCAAAAAGCTCATGGCAAATGGAATTAAAAAGGTGAATTTATTTTGATGTAGAGACATGCTGAAGTTCATAGTTTCTTGCAACATACATTTTCCGTGACCCTTTGACTCCTGGTGCCTGGCAAGCCGATGAACTATTTCCCAATCTGCCCTCTGCAACCGGGATGCTGGTACCTAGTGAAGGCTCTGCTTATTGAACTATTTTTGCTTGAAATGTGGAGTCTGAGATTTTACTGTTTTTAAATCATCTATGCTAAAGCCCAAGTAAACTCGTTAGCTATTTTGCTGTGTGGAAAGGCCCATCGATGCTAAGCAAGTGTGGGAACTCATGCTTCAGCCACTTGTTTCTCAGGGTAACTCTCAAACCTGACATCTCCATCTAATCTGTCAGATTGGATTTGTGCTATTCCCACCATTTGGAACCCCTGAATGGGACCAGCAGGAAGATACAAACCTCATGTTCATCACCATGTGTTTCTGCTGGCACTACCTGGCTGCTCTCTGCATCGTAGCCACCAACTACTTCCTGGTTTACTGGTATGTCTGAAAGATGACTCATGTAAAATGTTCTCCACCTAATCCACCACTAGGCAGTGCCACTTGCTAAGGGCCAACTCTTGTGCAAGATCCTGACAATTGCAGGCAAGGTATCATCACCTTTACGTGCAAACAAAAGGCTTTGTGACATCACCTGGCTGGGTCACAGTGGCTAGAAAACCAGGCTTCAAATGTAGCTCAGTTTTCTTCACACCTGTGCTGAGAAACATTGTGTATTAGGAATCAGTGGTCTCTGCTGCCACTGTTTTTCTGGACTCATCACCTTAACTCTGGACTTGTCCTGCTCTCCTAATGATCAAGCACTGAATCAGGGAAGAAGCTCTCTAGGGAAATGTAGGTGAGGACTACTACTATCTACTTAATACAGACTGTGTCCCACATAGCATGAGCACTTACATTGAATTTAACCTTCACTGCTTGATGTAGTCTCCCACATGGATGGCAGGCACCCATGTACTTAAGCCATCATCTACTGCCTTTCCAGACACATTAACAGGAAGTTGCATCAGAAGCACAGGCAGAACTCCATCCCAGACACACTGTAGAGGATTCAGACATCCCAAGAAGCAACTTAGCCCAATGCCCTGGAACATCCATCCCCGCACTACGCTTCCTTAGATGGAGAAAACCCAGGTGTCTGAAAGGCTGCGCAGTTTCCTCCAAGGCCACACAACCATGTGAACCGCACAGCCTCACAGACCAAGGATGAATTTCAGCATAGGCTACTACTAATTCTACTGCCATGTCACTGCCCCTTCTTTCTAGATTCGAAGTGGATAACTTCCTCCAGGAAGTCTCACACAGACCAGAGAAGGGAGCTCAAGGGCATTGTTATTAACCATGAGTCATTCTATCTACTGAGAAATTAAATATCTAAGTCAGGCATATTAAATTAAATGTATATGTGCAGGCATATAATCACAATATTTCATAGACATGAAGAAGATGCTGGAAGAACAAGTAAATGCTCTCACATCCTTGCGAGGTGGGGAAAGGGTAAGGAACTTATTCTGGCTCAATGATTCTTATGGTTTCCCTACTACAGGTTTTGCATTCGGCTGAAGAGACAGGAAGGAGGGGAAATCATTGGGATTCAGAAGCTGAAGTCAGATCACACTGACCATACTGCCCTCCTGGATGACTCGGAAGAAGAATGAACTAGACTGTGATGAGGGCAGAGTGTTGTCTCCAATCTGAACCAATGCAGCCAACACAGCTCATCCCCTCGATTTTAATACCTGCTCTGCTCTGCTCTTGTGGTTCTATGCATTTCCTCCTCCTCATTGAATACAAAGCTGGACATTTTCAGTAGGAAATTAGGAGGCATCTGATGTTTCTGTATAATCTTGCTGTTTTAATTTTTAAATGTAACAACCTGTAGCATCCTTCATCAAGAAAAAGGAAGCAATCCTTATGCAAGAGCAGCAAGGTTTTCTCAGTGTGAGAAGTTAAACTGCAAGCTTTAGAGTGGCCCCATGAATAAAGCCAGGATCTGAATGTTGCAAAATCCTATCATTCCAGAAAGCAGAAAAACAGCAGGATATAAGTGAATGGCAGTGCCTTTATTTTAGAGCCACAGTTTTAAACTTTACATAAGCTTTAGCATCTTAAATCTTACTTTCTAAACATCTCCTAACGAATAATCACCACCATTGATAAGGGACAAAATCAGGCCAAAGATTTTGTTTGTGTGTTGTTTTTAAAAACCAGGACCAAGTTAGAAGCCCAGCTGAGTCACAACTCGGCTATTCGGACTCTGCAGTTACTCTGACAGAGGATGCTGATAGGAAACGTGTTTAAGGATTAGGGAAAAATGTCAGGTTTGGGAAGGCCTTGGACTGCAAAGGATATGAACTTTAAATTAGTAATATGAAGCTTGACTCTAGTCCTGGTTCTCTATCTTTAAAATCTTGGTTCAATCATGATCTACTAAGCACCCACTCTTCCTCAGCACTAAAACGACCAAAGATGCAATCTGTCCTCCAGCAAGGAGACAAGAGTCTCTCAACTTTCTACCTTTTCTCATTTAGACATACAAGGAGTTACAACAGTGTGATGGGTGCTGTGAGAGGTAAGTACAAACTCTGGGAGAGGGATGGGAAATGGGGAGCTCATGTATTCCAGGCATAGAAGACAGAACAGCATGTACAAGGGCAATGAAAGCACAAGTGTACAGGGAGTTAAATACTGAGTTCTGGAAACTGGTAAAAGCAGGGTAAAACAAAGTGGAAGACTCTTAACAACTGTACCTTTCATTAGTATTGCGATTTTTCAGATTCTGGGATGTGTCAACCTTGCTTGGTTCTTACCACCACCAAGAATAATTGCAGAATCCTTCAGAGAAACTGGTAAGCCTATGGTCCACAGCTACCGTGTGGCAGAACCAGTCTTCAACAGCTCTCCAAACCCAGCTGCCACTTCACCCGGTTACTTCACACATCACCATTCATAGGCCCCGAAAGCTTTTTGGGAAAAATGCTTAAGTGAAAGGTAACATCCGGTGGCTAGTCTTTCAAAGCTCAAGTCACAGCTGAAGGATTAATAATGTCATATCAAAAAAAAAAAAAGGATGGATTTCACGATTCGTAAATTCCTGAATCCATTTTCAGTTTCCACCTTGGTTTGCCAAATGATTACAGAGCCCAAACACTCATTTTACAGGTACTGGAGGACTTATTACTGATAAAACGTATCCTTTCCTTAGGGGCTGAAGTGAAATGAAGTCTATTGTATCTTCTTAGAAAAGATCTACATTTGAGATTTTGAAGGGGGACAAAAGAATTTAAAAACATGCATTCTCTGCAGAGCCAAGTTCACCATGATCAGGAGGAGCACACCTTTTGATGCCCTCATTCAGCATGGTCTCTAATCCTTTGCCCCAGGGATCAACCCTGGCATTCTACACATGACATTAAAGCACAAACTGGCCACAATGGTATTCACCACATCTTAGGTACATGGTTTGAATATTTTTTTACAAACCTGTTAATCACAAACTCAGAGGTTCTCTGATGCCACACGTTCTCTCGGAACTGTTCACAAAATACCCTGCCCATCGCCAGCAGGGTGCACATGGGGCACAGATAGTAGTGTATTCCTGTGACTGCTCCTTAGCGGATTTCCTTTCTATACCACCCCACTGACAACACTGGATGGTGCTAAAACAATGCCTACGTCCCACACTGGCATCTTAAAACAGACCCATAATTTTTTTCAAAACACATACATTTTTTAGATTTTTTTAAAATAATGAATTCATTTTATTTTTGATGTTTACATAGGCAAGAGGGATGCATGCCCATGTGGGTCACCAATGAGGGTGGGGAGGGTGAAGAAATGAGGTAAAGCGGGTATCTGGGAAAAGTGGGGAGAGGGCCACTCCCAGCAACCCAACCGCATTAGTACCCGGAAATGGGGCACAGCCACCTGATGTCATCCCAGGGTCCCTGAGGTGGAGCATGTTCCAAGGGTACTACTGAAGTGGTTTCAATAGTTCAGAGATGAAAACCGACCCATATTTTACATCCCTGCTCTTTAGACTATACACATCTGTATATAAAAAATAGATGGTCAGGTGACTTCAGTAAATCAAAGTGTGCAACACGGCTGAGGCTCAATGCCAGAGCTACTTTCATGAAAGCCATTTGTTAAGCAAATCCAGAAGGGATCTCTCAAATTTCTTCTCATTCAGAAACTGTCACGTGGCTTTCTATGTGCAATGTGATTCCTGGAAATAATGATATGCAAACTTCAAAGTATAAATACTAATGCATTTCCCTGTGACTGGCTCATCAAGGACAGCATGGGCAGGTCACAGGTGTAAGACCCATTTTTAAGGTGCGGGCCAGTGGCGCAATGGATAACGCGTCTGACTACGGATCAGAAGACCCATTTTTATTACTTAGTGCAGGTTCCTCTCTCACATTTAGTTTTACTTCAGTGTCAGTCTTCTACTCAGCCCTCCGGGGCTTGGTCTTCCTTAAGTCTATCACTTCTGCTCTCAGTAATGGAGTTTTATCTCCTAACTGGATTGCCCCCAGCCTCAACACAATACATCCCAGCCATTGTCCTCTTAGGAGGGAACAGAAAGGGAACATGACTTTGCAGTCTGAAAGTCAACCTGAAGATGGGATTTCCATCTCTAGTTTCAACTATGACACATTTTACAATTAAGAAGGGGATGACAACATCTACTTTACAGAATGTGGTAAGAATCCAATGCCTGTGAAACAACATGCCCTTCCCACTTCATCTGCCTCCTGCAGCTCATCTCACCACCCATCCATGAGGCCATTTCCACGCTGCCCACCAGCTCTGCTTCATTTCCCAACCCCTCACAAGATCGCTGCATGTCCGTACAGATAATTTTTAATAACTAGGATAGTTTCAAAAGAGAAGTACTATCACTTTAGAAAAGCTTTACCACCCACTCCTGCCCAACACAAGAGGCATACATTAACAACCAGTGCATTACTTAAATATCACTTTAGAATATCACTGTCTGTAGCCAATGCAGACTGAGAAGCAGGAAACAGACGGTAATAAATAACAAATCCAGATGAACTTCTTTTGAGACTGTTGCTGCCAGATAGACCCTGTATCTGCATGCCCACTCCCCTCCTGCCATCTCTACTCTGGGGCAGGGAACAGAAACAATGTAGAAAACACACAAAGAAAAACACACACACACACACAAAAACAGCTTAGGCCTGAGAGCCATGGTATCTATGGCAACTGTTCAGTTCTGCCTTCTAACCTGAAAGCAGCCATAGATAATACATCAACAAATGGGAACGGGCTGTGCTCCAATAAAGCCTGACATGAACAGCTGGCCAGCTTCAAGGGCTGGGTCTGCCACTCTTGCTCAAGAGCAAAGCAGAATTCATGTCTCAACCGCGACAAAGTTTGTTCTGCAAAAACAGCATCTCTACTCATTCCCCTATTCCCTGTGCACTGGCTTTGGATTTCCCTGGGCCTGTTTTACTAAAACTTGGGCAGATATTGTGTATACCACAATCAAGATCCGTACTTGCCGTGAAGAGGAACCAAAGTCCCTCCACTTGAGGCCCTTCTACTAGTGCATTTCCTATTGTTTATTCCATCAGAAGCCTCTCGTTCTCTGTGTGATTATCAAATCAGCCATTAGCTTACTAAGAGTCTTGCTATCCTCTCATGCTCATCGAAATGAGTGATGAGTTTGGGAGGGGCTAAGCCCAGGTTTCTGGACACAAAACTCTTTATCTGGGCCACGAATCACAGGGAGGATCAGAAGCTAAAACAGCCCTCACAAAGATCTGGGCTCATTCACTGCAACTGGCGAGCCTTCCCTGAGTGTCTGACTCTTCATCACAGAACTGGGTTTGCATGATGTAACTGCGACCTCCTACCAACTCTAAAAAAACTTCTGCTGGAGTGAGCCTTTCTCTCAGTGCTCCACTGCAGGGCATAGCAGCAGAACTGAGGCTTTTGGTGCCATCATCCCCCCACTGGCCTGCGGTAAACACAAGCCTGGAGAATTGATGCGATCTCCCCGCTGCTCTTTAGCCAGGACAGACCAGGTCCTGTCTTTTACAGACGCCATCTCTCTCCCAGTCACTGCTGTTCAGGTGCCTGTTTAGGAGATGGAGCCGTGGTAACAACAACAGTGGAGACTGCTTTGGAGGAACCAGAAGCTGTTCCCTGTTGGAGATGGGATGCAGGGACAGTCTGGATGCGCACCTGTTTGCAAGAGAAAAGATTTGGTTAGCAGATTGTTAAGTGGCTCATCAGTTATTAACAGCAACAGAAACAGAGAAGCCTGGCACGGCAAGGAGTTTGCCATGGACCTTACCTGTGTGGCCTGACCTTGCTGTTGAAGCTGCTGCAACTGCTGGGCAGTCAGGAAACTAACAGGCTTATTGCCAGCAATGAGCTTGGTACCAGCTGGCATGGTCGTGAGGATGATGTTGCGGCCCAACCCACCAAGGCTGTGGAAAGAAAGCAGGAGTACAATATAAGGGTATCGCAGGGTATTCTGAAATCCTTCCCACTACAGCCTCTCTCACTCACGCCATGCTGTGACTGCCACAATGACTGTTTCTTGCCCTTCATCCCTGCTGTAGGTCAGGGACACAGAAGCCCTGAGAGGTCCTGAGGTGGTGTTGAGAGCACAGGGGTCAGAGTAGACCTTCTCTATTCCTACCCAACACCCCTACACTCTCTTTTCTCCTCTGTATCTCCCACTCACTATATTACTATATTACTTCTCTCCCTGATCTACAATGTAAGCCTGGAAAGCATGAAACCGCTTTAACTATATCAAAACAGAGCCTGCCTGTCCCTGATCTAATTAAAACACCTGAAGAATGGGTGCTGTTAATGACCACAAAACAGGAGAAAGGTCACAGGTAGGACTAAGAAAACCCAGCTGCCATCCTATTCTGTGACCAAGACTCCAACTTAGGACTTGACCACCACCTCAACCTCACGCTTGTTCCTTCAGGACAACACAATACTCACTTGGCTCCAAGGTTGCCTTTGATGATCGGGGCTGTGACCACACTCTTGCCCTTCATCGGCTGGCTAATCACAGACAGTGGCACTGTGATCCGTGTAGGAAGCTTCCCCTAAGGAGAAGAAGCAATCATGATTGTGGGACAGGAGGTAAGGAACACTACCAAACAGCACCTGCACAGCAACCAGCACTGAGGACTGAGAACTACAGAAGCTTTCACCCATCCCAGCCAGGCTGCCAAAGATCCCAAGGCCTGGCCACTAGGCAGCCCTAATAAAATGGCTCAGTATCATCTGACCTATTATCATCCTCTATCAAGCTATCCAAAAGCAGCAGCAACCATGAAACCTGCTTTCTTAGGGTAACGCCTGTATCGAAATCACAAAGGCAGTGTCTTCATTTAAGCAGAGTCCTAGACTTTGTGCTCCTAACAGACAAAAGTCTTACTTGTTCCTTAACATGTGGCACACAACTGTCCTTATCTGGTGAAATAGAAGAACACCAAGGAGCTAAAGAGTTAACACAGAAAACACACGTTGACTGCTCCATCGGAATGCAGGCTCGTTGGTGGGGAACAAACAACAGGGCACAATGCTAGGAACAAGTCACATTACTCCAGGGGCTTTTCATGTCTCCAGAGATAAGAGATGAGTCAGGGCACACTGGTAATAAACTCAACTAAGTGAAAAGTCTAAGAGCAAAGCTAATAAGGTTCAAAACAAAAACATGGAAAAGTCCTGAAGTCTTGGAACTTTGGGATGGTTCAAACAAGTCACTACGTCACCTGCTTTTAGGTTATCCGGCTTTTAATGCTTGGTTGGTAATGAAATTTACACAAAATCAAATCTGATTAGAAATAATTTAAGAGGGGCCTGGTGTGATGGCTCAGTAGCTAAATCCTCGCCTTACACGTACTGGGATCCTATACGGGGCCAGTTCTGTCCTGGCAGTCCCACTTCCCATCCAGCTCCCTGCTTGTGGCCTGGGAAAGCAGTCAAGGATGGCCCAAAACCTTGGGACCCTGCACCTGTGTGGGAGACCTGGAAGAGGGCTCCTGGGTACTGTGGCCATTTGGGGAGCAAAGCAGCTGATCACTCTCTGTCCATAACTGTGAGTTTCAAAAATAAATAAATGAATAAACAAATTTATTTAAAATAAATCTTTAAATTCACCCATACACATGTACAGGTGATGATATCTCCAAATAGATTTATTTATAGTTTCAATTGTTATAAGAATGCCCAATTGCATTGTAAAACTATGGGGAAGGGTACAGGGCAACTCCAGAACCTATACAACAAGATAAAATATGTTTTTTTAAAAAAAAAAAAATCTCTGCATGAGGCAGGAACCTAGAGTAAAAATGAAGATGCTGGGGCTGGTACAGATAATCTTCTACCTGTGATACCAGCATCACATATGTGCACCAGTTCGTGTCCAGGCAGCTGCATTGTCAATCCAGCTCCCTGCTGGTGGCCTGGGAAAGCAGTGAGGATGGCCCAATGACTGTGACCCTGAACCTGTGTGGGAGACCCAGAAGCAGCTCCTAGCTCCCGATTACAGATCAGCTAAGCTCTGGCCATTGCAATGAACCAGCAGATAGAAGCTCTCTCTTACCATCTCTCTTTTGAATATAAAATCTGCCTTTCAAACAAAAATAAATAAATCTTCTTTAAAAAAAAAAAAAAAGAATGCCCAATTGCTTAAAATACCTCGGGCCCTCAGACCACCAGTACACCAAACTTCCCTGTCAAGAACTAGCCCAACTAGCTGAGACAGGAAACAAGCACCATTCCTCACTACTGGTCCACAGTTCACTATCCAGTTACAGCGACCTAGCTTGATCTTAACAGAGCACATGGCCCCAGAAGGAACCTGTGTCAAGAGAAATATGGGATCAAGCAAGCACCATTCCCTCACTTCCTTCCTTCAGTGTGTGTGTCATCTAAATCTAAGTGACTATTTCCATTTAATCACACCATCACAGTTTCTGGTCGGCTGGCTTTACTAGTATGCATGATGCTCTTCCTGCCTCACTGCCGTTTGTCCTGGGTCACAAAGCCTTTCCTCCACAGCCTGCTTAGGAAAGCGAGGATGTTTGTGAACATTCTCGAGCCACCTTCACTCTTCTGAGCAGAACTCCTTTCCTAGAGGCGAGGGGACAAACCCACTTGCATCCAGAGACACAGCCACATGTACGACAAACACAGCGCTTCGCGTTAGTGAAGACGAACTCAACAACTTTGAAGCAATTTGAAAAATACAAATAGAAATTCCCACCTGATTACACTACTGTTTTAACTGGACTATCAATCATACTATATTTAAATTAAACAGCCCTGGTTTAGCACAGGCACAAAACCTAGAAACTAGTAAAGAAAATGTCGGTAGATTTTTTTCAGGTAAAATTATAAATGCCTGAAGAGTAAGAGGCTCTATATACAAGGCTAAAAGATGACAGACTGGAATATACAAAAAAAAAAAAATCACTAATCACCACCCAGAAAATACAAAGGGTCACCTTGAACAATATCAAATAGACACACTCCAAAAACTGACAAAGCTTTATTCAACATTAGCGAGCACATGCATGTGTCTAAATAACAGGTGCTCAACCACATTCATGATGAGAAAGTCAATTGGGGCCCGGCGCAATAGCATAGTGGTTAAGGTCCTCGCCTTGCACACGCGGGATCCCATAAGGGCACTGGTTCTAGTCCTGGCAGCTCCACTTCCCATCCAGCTCCCTGCATGTGGCCTGGGAAAGCAGTCGAGGATGGCCCAAAGCCTTGGGATCCTGCACCCATGTGGGAGACCTGGAAGAAGCTCCTGGCTCTTGGCTTTGTATTGGCTCAGCTCCAGCCATTGCAGCCGTTTGGGGAGGGAACCATCAGACAGAAGATCTTCCTCTCTGTCTCTCCTCCTCTCTGTATATCTGACTTTCCAATAAAAATAAATAAATCTTAAAAAGAAAAAAAAGAAACTAAGTCAATTGGAAAAGAACTACCTCCTTTTTACTAATAAAGCAGGAACATAGGGGGATGGAATGGTGGCTCAGTGAGTTAGCCCTCCAACTACAACACTGGCATCCCACAAGGGAGCCAGTTCATGTCCCAGCTGCTCCATTTTTCATCCAGCTCCCTGCTTATGGCCTGAGAAAGAAAGGATGGCTCAGGTCACTGGGCTCTTGCACCCATGTGGGAGACCCAGAAGAAGCTCCTGGCTTCTGACTTTGGATTAGCTCAGCTCCAGCCATGGTGGACATTTGGGAATTGAAACAGCAAATCGAAGATCTTTGTTTCTCACCTTCTCTTTCTGGAAAATTTGCTATCTAAATAAAAAGAAACAAATTAAAAAAAAATGGGAACAAATTAAAGCTGTGACTGGTTAGGATCCAGGGTCAACAGGAAACGCAGGGGGAGTCTCAGCTGGTATGACGTTATGGTAGCACAACTGGAATGGAAGACCTCTCACTACATACACCTCAGGGACTAACACCTGTCCAGACACTCGGTGCAACACTGGCCAGCAGCGGAGACTTAGTCCTTTCCCTAAATTACCATGATGCCAACAAGAGCAGACACGGTGGTACGCGGTTACAGCCACCACATGCAATGCCAGCAACTCTTACAGATGCCAGTATGAGACCTGACTGTGCCATTTCTGATCCAGCTCCCTGATGATGTGCTCAGGAAAAGCAGAAGGCTTGGGTCCCTATCACCACACAGGACACACAGATGAAGCTCCTGGCTACAGCCTGGCCCAAACCTGGTTGTTGCGGACATCTAGGGGAATGAACCAGTGTACAGAAAATCTGTTTCTTTCTATAACTCTGCCTTTCAAATCAATCATCTTTAAAATACACACAAGCAGGCAGGCACTGACATTGTGGCATAATGGGTTAAGTCACCACTTGGGACCCAAGTGCTTGAGTTTCTGCCACCCACACGGGAGACCTGGCCCTGCCCTGGCCATTCCAGTCATTCTGGGGAGTGAACCAACAGGTGCAAGATGGGTCAGTCTCTGCTACTGCCTTTCAAATAAATGAATCTTTTGGGGCAGGAGAGGAGAATGCAGTCACGGTCTATGCCAAGACAGCTTTTGAAATAATTACAGAACAACATATACACCCACATTATTTTTTTCTTTTTAAACTCTGTGTGTATGTGTATGTGTGTATGAAAATGTTCAGAATGAGACAGAACAAATGCCAAATTAACAACAATAATTAGCTCTTCTAAGAAAACAGAAAAGTCTATCAGCTAATAAACCTATCGGGGTCAACCAAGACAATATAGACCAAGTTGCTAATTTCCATTGCTACATAAGCCTCCCGGTTCTTAGGAAGTCTCTTCCTCATGGGAGTCGAACATCCTCAGAACTTTGGTGAACAGAGCTGCTATTCTTTCCCACTAACATTACTCACAGCCTGAGACGTGGACACGACCGTGGTGCTGACTGGGACCTGCCGCACAGTGGGGGTTCCCGTTCCGATGCTGAGTGGGGTGCTGGCAGCTCCAGAAGCCACAGCCACAGTCTTGGAAACAGTAGCATTCATGCTGGGCAGGGACACCGCTGCAGTGTGGACAGTTCCAGACCCACTGGCCACCGTGGCTCCCTGCTTGGCATGGGTTGCAACGGTGATGGTCTGGCCTGCTTTGGGAGGCATCACTCCCAGGCCTTGCACAATTCGGATTGTGGCAGCTGGTTTTGCTTCGGAAGACGCCACTGTGTTTTTTCCCTTCTGGTCTGCCACACTTACACCAAGGGCTGGCATCAAACGAAAAGCTGAACTTGAGGTTTCTGTCGGTTTGAGGTCAGGAGTCACTTTCACCACGGTAGTACCTGCTGGAGTGGATGAAGGGGCACTGGCTGAACTGGCCTTGGCAGGGCTATCAGTGGCATGGACGGGATTGGAAGTAACATGTAAAGTAGCAGAGATGCCTTTGCCTGCAGTGCCACTTCCTGTCCCAAAGAGGTCCTGGGTCAACTTCACCGTGGTCACCTGCGACTTGGCCAACGTGGCCATCATGTCCGGAGTGATGCGCAGAACCGTCTGTCCCTTGGCATCTGTAGTGATGGAAGAAGGTGGCAGACGCAACACATCCTTACCCTGGATACGGAAATTAGTGGCTGTGAGTGGGATGCTGCTACCAGTCTGGGGCTTCACACCAATCTGCCCAGTAATTGCCACCTGCATGGGGAAGAACCAATAGTGAGAAAGATTCATGATACCAAGCAGATACCAGTAGTGATATAACAAATCCACACACTCTTCCAAAGATAGAACTGTTAGTGTTATCAATCCTTCCCCACTCTGAAGTAGGTAGGAGAGAGAAGGAAATCAGGGGCTATCATTGAAGCATAGTAGATAAAGCAGCTGTCTGAAATGCCAGCATCTCAAATGGGTGCTTGTTCAAATCCCAGCTATTCCAATTCCAATCCACTTGCCAACAGTGCACCTGGGAAAGCAGCACAGGAGTATTCAGGCCCCTGCACTCACATGGGAAACCTGGAAAAATGTCTTAGCTCCTAACTTTGGTAGGGCCCAGTCCTGGCCATTTAGGCCATTTGGTGAGTGAACCAACAAATGCAACGTATCTCTTTATTTCCTCTCTAACTTTGTCTCTCAAAAATAAGTAAACTGAAACTGAAAAATAAAGTAAACCCAAGACAAATCATTTTACTGATCAAAATATCTCTATCATAAAAAGGCCTTTTAAACTAAAAAAAATTGATCACAATGCTATCATTAGTACCCCAATCATCAGTGCATACTTCTATGTCCCCAAATGCCTTAGAGTTACACTGGGCTGCTTCACGGTAAGAACAGCAGTGTGGCACAGTGGCTTCAAGCACACACTGTGTTCACACCTCTCTGCCGTAAAGCCAACGTAAACCAAATCAGCCCTTCTGACCTGCTCAAGGCCTTCCTCTTTCAGCGGCCCTGTAGGACCACTGCCACTAAAACACAAATACATTGTGGCATTGCCAGCACACGCTTTCACCCATGCTCACCTGCACCTCATCACCCTGCTCACATCCCACTCAAGCCCCAGTTTCTGTTCTTCATGGCTTTCCTGCTCTGATCCTTCCCCATAGTTCAGACTACCTAGCAACCAGAGGATTCTTTAAGAGCAGACAAGATCAGGGATGGCACACTGGCTTAACAGGCTAATGTCCTAGCTACTCTGCTTCTGATCCAACTCTGCTTATGGCCTGGGAGAGCAGCAGAAGAAGAAAGCAAGAACCTTGGGCCCTTGGAGCCTTGTGGGAGACCCAAAACACACTTACAGGAGAACAACTGACAGGATATTGTTTGTATGATAGCAACACTTGCATGAGAACAACTGAGTGGATATCACTTGAATGAGGACACTTGATTGGATATATAAAATAAAAACAGATCCTTTCAGACAAGGGTTCCGTAGACAGGCTTATGAGAACTACGTAAGCTCCAATACCCCTCCCTTATCCTATGTGACCCTCAGTCTGTAAAAGCCTGATGCCACCAAAAAACTTCAGCTGTTGACCATCAGTCAGTAGTCCACATGCATTCCTTTGCCTCTGTGCACCAAGTCCATCACTGCTGAGCTACGAACAGACACTCCCGGCATCAGACAGGCTCAGCTCTGGCCACTGCAGCCATGTGGAAAATCAATCAGTGAATGGGGATCTTTCTGTCCTTCTGTTAATCTGCCTTTTAAATAAAAATGAATACATCTCATAATATAGTTATATTTTTAAAATATCTGTATTTTATATATGTATTTTAATTTTTCCAGGTTTCCCATGTGAGTGCAGGGCCCAAACACTCCTGCTGCTTTCCCAGGCATACTGTAAGCGAGTAGATTGGAAGTGGAGTAGCTGGGATTTGAACAAGCACTCATTTAAGATGCTGGCAATACATATATATATGTATGTATGGGCCAGTACCATGGCTCAACAGACTAATCCTCCAACCTTCAAGTGCTGGCATCCCAGATGGGGGCCAGTTTGTGTCTTGGCTGCTTCACTGCCAATCCAGCTCTCTGCCTATAGCCTGGGAAAGCAACAGAGGATGACCCAAATCCCTGGGACCCTGCACCCACGTGGGGGACCCAGGAGATGTTCCCAGCTTTGGATCAGCTCACCTCATACCATGGCAGTCCTTTAGAGAATCAGCCAATGGATGGAAGACATTCTCTCTATACCCCTCCTTCTCTCTCTGTAAAAACTGCCTTTTGAATGAAAATCAGTAAATCCTAAAAAAAAATCCACCAGACCAAGGCAGCCTAAGCAAGTTCCCAGAGGTTCCCCATCAAACTTACATTAAAATCCAGTGTGGTTACATTACTTCCCTACTGTTCCCTACACGTGATCACTGTCACCTGCCGTTCTCAGGTCCGCAATCTCCCCAGCTGTCATCACACAACACAGACTCCATATTCCACACACTTCTCTCTCGTGCCGCCCTAACATGAGCACGCTCCCACTCCCCACCCACACCCTGTCTTCTGATGTCCACAGCATTTATGCCTACCTGCCTGGAGCAGCTACCTCTCTCCCAGCTTTGAGAATGAGTTGCAGGAAGACAGAGACTTGAATACACAACTCTGAGTCCCCAGTACTTAGAGCAGTCCCAGAAACAGACAAGACACTAAACAGATGTGTGTTGAATAACAAACAACAAAGGTGCCTCAGAGGGCACAAGGACTGGACTAATATCCTACAATATGCTCAGTACTGGAATGTAGAAAGCAAACCCTAACAATATTAGCTGCTACTTACCGAATAATTCTTTAAAGTTCAATCCTTCCATATGCACAACCAAGAAATACAAATTCTATCTTTATTAGTGGTAAACTACAAAACTACTAAAATAATGGCCACGGGGCAGGTGTTTGGCCTGGCAGTTAGGTTGTGAGCTGGAACATTCTCACCCTGCACTGATGCCTAGCTCCAGCTCCTGCTTCCAGCTCTGTAAATGCGGATCCTGGGAAGCAAGAATGATACATCAAGTAGCCGGGTGCCTGCCTACCCGTGTGGGAGACCTGGCCTGAGCTCCCAGGTTCATTCAGCTGGATCCAGTAAGCATGGTTTCAGGCATTCGGAAGGCAAATAAACCAGTACACAGAAGATTTCTTTCTCTGGAGGAAGATATTTCTCTCTATTTCTCTTCCTCTCTATATATCTTACTTTGCAATAAAAATAAATATTTAAAAAAAAAAAAAAGGAAAGAAAGAAAGAAAATAGCCAAGAGGATTTAAGTCAATTCATGGAGAGTCTAATTCTAGAAATTCTACTACTAAAAGCTGATTTCTATGGAACAAAATGGAAGCGTAAGGTTGCATTGCATTTGGTAGGTGCTCTCACCTGAAACACCTAGAAAGTGAGGGTCCAAGATGACAAAGCTTTTCTCTACACATCCAGAACCTCCGAATTCATGAGTCCTTGACTCGAGAACAAAGGAATTGGACCTACCTACAGAGTCCCACCCTGCCTACCGGGTTACACTGTGTCCTGTACCATGCAGAATGAGCTCACCCACCTGCTTGATGATGTTCTGTCCTGTGACATTCTGAATGACAGTAGCTGTGGAGGCACTTGCAGCAGAGCTCCCAGGAGAACTTGTGGCTGGCTTGCTCACAGGACTGGCCGCAGCTGGAAGACTTGTCACCGTGAGCCCTGTTGGCCCGGATCCCGGCCTCTGCACGGTGGCCGCTGCAGTCTGGGCCTTGACTGGTACAGTGGCCATTACTGTCTAGTTCAGGGCATAAGGTCAAGAGCTTAATTAGACATTCAAGTGCACCCTAGTACTCTCAGCAGCCATCTCATACACACCGTCCCACCTGAGTGTTCTACCCAGGAAACACACTTCTAACTTTACAGAGCTTAAAGCACACCACTCTCTAAGCTGGATACTATACACTTCGATTTCAGAATCCCTTTACATTTAATAATGATCCTGCTTCTATACACTGAGGATACACATGATTACACTCATTTTACAGTAAAGAAAATTGAGGCAAAGAGCACACAATCTTCTCAAAACCCACATTTCGACAGTAGCATGGCTAAGACTGCCGGCAACACTGGAAGAGCCCAAGACAGATTCTTAAGTTCTGAACATCCCACCTCTACCAGGGTCATAAGGCTGGAATCCCAGGTGAGGGAATGGCATTGTGGTAGCATGTTAAGCTGTCACCTGTGGTGCCAACACACCATGTAGTTGCAATTGAGTCCCAGCTATTCCACAGCTGTCTGCTGGGAAAGCAGCTAAGTGCTTGGGCTCCTATACCCATGTGGGAGATCAAGAAGAGCTGCCTGGCTTCAGGCTGGCCCAGCCCTGGACACTGTGGTCATTTGGGGGAATAGCCAAGCAGATGGAAGATTCTGTCTCTTCCTCTCCTAACTCTAACTTTAAAATAGATAACCAAATATCTTTGGGGAGGAAAAAATAAAAAAACAAAACAACTCCCAGGTCAATCACTGAGGACCCATGCCAGCATGTAAAGCAGAGCGCTTACAAATACTTACCCAGCTCTGAACCCTAAGGCAGCTGCTCGGATGAGCCTCACTGTCAGCATTAACTTAAGATTCCTGATCATCCCCGAGCCTGCCCATCTGATCTATAGTCACTATCCCTCCATCACAATGTCCTGCAGAATCTCTATTTACCTGGGGCACAACTTTGGTCTGTGTGGCAGTAGCTGGAGCCCTGATCTGTGGTCCTGCGGGCATCTGTGGCAGTGTCGATGTGGACCCTGATGACTGTGGAGGGACAGCAGGAAGGCTGGGCTGGGCTACCACGCGCACCTGAGGCAGTCCGGCTGAGCCAGAGTGGCTTACTACCCGGGTGGCAGTCTGAGAACTGGGTGGAGTCTGGCTGGAAGCTGGCGAAAGCATTGTTCCAAGCTGTGGCATTGTTGGTGAAGACACCAGAAGAACACTAAAAGGAAATCAGGAGATCCAGACACCTAAGGCATTTATACAAAGGGACTTGCATAGGAAAACAGCTGGAGAAAAAAAAGAGGTGCACTTACCCAGAGCTAGACTTAGCTGGTTCCGAAACACTGGTGGGGCAACTTTTGACTGAGGACACAGGGGGAGGGGAGATGGGAGTGGCAGGCAACGCTGGCGTGGTGGGCGTTACAGGAGTGACTGGGGTGGGTGGCATGCTGGAGTCACTGAGGCTCATCTGGCTCTGCTCAGAAGGGCCACTGTTCAGGACCTTTATGGGGTTCTCCTTGCTACTGGACTTCTAGAATGGACAACAAGAAAATTCACCCATAACGTACATGAAGGTTTCACTAAAGGCAGGCATGGACCCTGTAGCTTCTAAGGCACTTTTAGTAAAAGCTGAGTTTAGCTACTCCCTACTGCCTCCATCCCAGAATCCCCAAGGCATCACTCACGGTGTCACTTACCACCTTGGATGGGGGCTTGGGCTTTTGCTGAAGAGCTTTTCTGGCTTTAGCTGCAGCTGCTTGTGCTTGATGAATCCGCTCTGTGAATCAGAGTAGTAAGCATCAGTGAGTGCAACCTCAGCATGCTTAACAAGGAGCCTTTGTTAAAAGCCAAAGCCAGGGGGCTGGTATTATAGGCCAGGAGGTTAAGCCACTGCTTGCAATGCTATAAGGGTGCTGGTTCAAGTACTTGCTGTTCCAATTCTAATCTAGCTCCCTGCTAGTGTGCCTGTTAAAACAGTGAAAAGAGCTTCACCCCCTGTCTCTGGAGATCCAGAGGAAGTGCCTGGTTCCTGGCTACAGCCTGGCCAGCCCTGACACAGTAACCATTGGGACAATGTGCCAACGGGTGGAAGACTTTTGTCTCTCCCTCTCTTGTCTTTTAAATAATAAAACAAATCTTTAACAACTAGCCAGGATAGGCATTCAGCACAGTGCTAAGATGCCACTTAGGACAAATGCCTGTGTACAAGTCCTGGCTACACTTCCGATCCCAGCTTCCTAACCATGCACACCCTGGAAGGCAACAGGTGATACAGTTCAAGGAGTTGGGTCCCTTCTTTCCCTGGGAGACCTAGATACAGTTTTGGATTCCTGCCTTCAGCTTGGCCCAGCCCTGGTTATTGTAGGCATTTAGAACGAGCCAGAAGATTTGTTGTCCTCTTACTGTTGAGATGAAGGTAAATATGTCAAACACTTTTAAAAACACCCAAAGCTTAGCTGGTGGGTTGAATCCTACCTCTACATGCCTATCCTGCCTGAATGTTAATAAATAGTGAAACTGAGACGAAGTAAAAGCATCATTAGTCTAGTCTGACGCACTGTCCAAAGGCCTCACGCACCAAACTCCTCCTCACTGCGGTCACGATGCAGATAGATCCACAGCTTCCGTCCGATGTCGTACTTCACACACGGGTCCTTCTCGTAGTGCAGCCGATCCAGAGCACCACTCACCACTGTGTTCACCTAAGGACAGAGGGCGCAAGGGGCCAACTCAGACCCACAGAACAAACACTACTTGAACTCTAGGGGGGAGGGAGGGAATCACTGGTGAGCGTCAGCTGATAAACAAATTCTAACCCAGCCTAGCTACATACTCCTGGTGGCTCAACAAATCACATAGCAAAAAGCAACTGTCAGACCCCTGAGATCCTGATGTGCTTCCACAGTGAGGAATCCGCTGACTACATGACCAGCCTTCCCTTTGCCACAAGCTGAAGGAAAGCTCATAGCCAAATTTCATCATTGTTGTATTCATTTATCAAGACACACTTATTGGGCCCAGCAGCGTGGCCTAGTGGCCAAAGTCCTCGCCTTGAACGCACAGGGATCCCATATGGGCACCAGTTCTAATCCCAGCAGCCCCACTTCTCATCCAGCTCCCTGCTTGTGGCCTGGGAAAGCAGTCGAGGATGGCCCAAAGCCTTGGGTTCCTGCACCCATGTGGGAGACCTGGAAGAGGTTCCTGGCTCCTGGCTTCGGATCGGCATAGCATCGGCGTTTGTGCTCACTTGGGGAGGGAATCATCGGACGGAGGATCTTTCTCTCTGTCTCTCCTCCTCTCTATATATCTGACTTTCCAATAAAAATAAAATAAATCTTTAAAAAAAAAAAAAAAGACACACTTATTATCCCTTCTTCAAAGTTTATAAAAATTGATGTCACACTTCAAATTTCTTAATATACTATCTGATATCCACTCTAGAAATGTCACAAGCAATATCTCCATCTTACCTGTGTGCTGGTGACATCGGGTGCGAGGAATTGGGAGTCCTTGAGCAGTTCACATATCTCTGCCCGGGTACCTTCTCCATTAGGCAGCCGGGCGGCAGCATCTCGAACTGATGACATCAGAAAATGCAACGTGCAACAGTCAAGCAGGGTTTCTATTGAGAAACAATGTCTCCTGACCTGCTATAGTGGGGTCACACTATTGGGCTACCGGTCCCCCACCTGATCTGACTCAGCAAGGGCAAACACTGCCCTCTAGTGGCCAGCAGTTTGCCACTGTAATCTACATGCAACACCTTAGAATTCAGCAGTAAGAATTCACGTGAGTGAAGAAAAAAAGACATCTTTAACTAAAAGTTAGCATATTTTTTTATTGTAAACAAAGGTTAAAAACATATGGGCAGAGCTTGTGATATCAGGACAGACATCGGGTGCTTTCATACACTACAGGAACAAACAATACATCATTGCCTCAGAGGACCCGACACAGTAGCCTAGTGGCTAAAGCCCTCGCCTTGGATCTGCTAGGTTCCCATATGGGCGCAAGTTCTAATCCCAGCTGTTCCACTGCTCCCAGCTCCCTGCTTGTGGCCTGGGAAAGCAGCAGAGGACGGTCCAAGGCCTTGGGACCCTGCACCCACGTGGGAGACCTGGAAGAAGCTCCAGACTCCTAGCTTTGGATCAGCTCAGCTCTGGCCATTGTGGCCACCTGGGAAATCAACCAGCAGATGGAAGATCTTTCTCTCTGTAGGTCTGACTTTCCAATAAAAATAAATTAAAAAAAAAAAAAAAAAAAAACCAAAAACTGAAGACCCTGAGTGGAAGAAACAAGGGCAGAGGGTGGCGAGTTAGTGTGGGGCCTGACAGTGGCTGCACACGACATACCGAGAGAGAGGATGGTGACATAGGCAGGCCTGTCGGAGCGCAGCAGGGAGTGCTCCCGGGCCTTGTTGAGGGAGGTCTCCTTGTCAAACACACCCTTCACCGGCCCCACCACAGACTCAAAGCCGTGCATGCGGAAGGTGAAGGCCTTGTGGGGCTGGCTGTACCTGTAGCGCTCCTACCAAAAGAAAAGGGAGAGAACTCTTAAGTCAGAACGAGCAGGTTCCCCCTCGAGCTCCCCTGCAATAACGCAACCTGCACGCAGGAAGAAACAAGCCAACCATGCAGGGAAAAGAATGGTGCTCAGAGCTGGCCGCTTTAGATATAAATGCATCCCGCGGCAGTGTTCATTCTCATCCTTTACACTGTTTCTGCTCCCAAGAAACTTCCCTGCTAGAGGGAAGTGTGTGAACCGCCCCTAAGAACTCAAAGGAGAATCACACTGCGGTGTCTCTCGCCACAGGCTTCCAGAGACAAGCACTGGCTTCTGGTGCTCTTACCTGCTCCTGAAAAACCCGTTTTTCTTCCCCTGTGCTGGGCCGCACCACATAGTCAGTTCTTCTGAAACATAAGGAATGTTGTAGCAACTGAGAGTTGACAAGCACATCAAAGACCACCCCCGCCCCGGCCCTTTTTCAGCACCCAGAAATAAGTCTCCTGGAATCATGAAAAACTGCCCCTTCCTAAGCACCCAATTCCTGGCAAAGATGAAAAGTCCATTTACCAGGTGGGAAAGACTGATACTGGTAACTATTAATTTAAGTATTATTGCTATACAATAGTAACAAAAAAATGTACCCTTAGAGTAAGAAAGTATTCTGCCATCAAATATGAAAGATGACAAAGATAGTTTTTCTGCCACCTCAGAAGTATCCAGAACTTGGGTTCTATTCCCTACTATGTGAGCCCACACATTTTGCCACTTCAATCAGGCCTCTGTGCTGGGGTTCAAAATCTACAGACCCATACGCATTAGCAGAAAACAGCAATATGAGACAAGCCACAACCGAAGGCAGCCAAGGAACGTAAACTCTTAGTGGGGTCCTATCATTAACTTTCAGCAAGTCACTTAACCATGTTCTTAACACATAAATGAGGAAGTTTTATTAGTCATCTCAAATGGAAGCCAAGGAAGACTCACACGGAAAAATGTGTATTTGGGACAGGCATTGTGGCTAAAGCAGCAGCTTACTGCACTGACATCCTATATGGACAGCAGTTCAAGCTCCAGCTGCTCTACATCCAATCCAGCTCACTGCTAATGCATCTGGGAAAGCAAAAGATGACCCAAGTATTTGGGCCTTATATCCATGTAGGAAACTCAGAAGAAACTTCTGGTTCCTGGCTTGAGCTTGGTCTAGCCCTAGCCACTGCAGCAATTTGGGGAGTGAACCAGCAGAAGGAAGGTCTCTCTTGCCTCCCACCTCCAAATAATGCTGACTTTCCATTAAATTACACACACACATACACACTTAAAGTATGCTTGGGATTGGTGTAGGGTGCATTAGGCTAATCCTCTACCCTGCGACAGCAGCATCCCTTATGGGGATGATGCCCTTACGGACACCAGTCGTATCCCATCTGCTCTACTTCTGATCCAGCTCTCTACTTGTGGCCTGCGAGGGTAACAAAGGACCCAACTCCTTGGGACCCTACACCCACGTGGGAGACCCAGAAGAAGCTACTGGCTCCCAATTTTGAAACAGTTCAACTCTGGCTGTTGTGGTAATTTAGGAAGCGAACCAACAGAGGATCTTCTCTGTCTCTCCTCTCTGTTAAATCTGCCTTTCAATTAAAAATAAATCTCCCTTAAAAGACAAGTATTCATAAGCATTCTGCCTTTAAAAAAACACAGTATGTCCTCTTCGAGCCTCTACAGCACAATGCTCTGGCTTAATCAATAACCCACCCTTATGGAAGAGACTATGTATGATGCATCTGCAGGTGACGATGTGCGAACAAGAATCAGTACACTGATAGGATCTCTGAAGTCCACCGCAGTTCTAGCATATGAAGCAATGTCAGCAAAATCAAGGCAGTTTCTTAAATCATGGTTTCATTACCGCCTACCATTAAAGTATTATACTCACACTCGAGGGACAGGTGTTGTGGCATCTGAGCTGTCTTCATTCTCTTGCTGGAGGGAAGAAAAACATTAACAAGTAAATAGACCAAGAAATTTCCACTAACCTAAAGGCTCTGGAAACAGACTGAGGAAGATGTTATTTCTTAAAAGCCATACCTTGCAGAAGGTCTGGTCTTTGGTCTCCAGCCACAGCTGAAAGAGCCCAGCTAATTCCTTTTCATTATCCTGGGACTGGCCTATTACAGGAACAAAAAGATAAATAAGAAGATCTAAGATGATATTCGAAATCCAACCTTCTCATTACTTGTTTGCTTTATGCGCCAAAACTACAGTATGTCAAGACCTGTGTTACTAACCCTTTGTACATGCATCACTTTTACCCACTCAGTAGTTACCTGCTGTGCAGCCAGGCACCACACACAAAACTGGAGTTACTCAAAAAACTCAGTCTCTGCCTCCATGAAGTTCACATAAATTTGATTCAAAAACTGGCAGGACTCACAAAGGACGTCTTAATAGCTTTATACTGTGGAAGTAATCCTCACCTTGTGGGTAAAACAAGCTTGTCACCAGAGGGACACAAAGTCATTGTAGGGACTGACACAGCATGATAGTCCTAGGGAAAGTTCCTGAGCCCGCTCCTGGCCTTCTCTCAGGGCACCCCTTGGAGCCCACTATGGTCGCACCTGGCACACAAAGACACCTAGATTTCCCACCCGGGCTAGAAGCCCCAGCACAAACATCAGCCAGGCGTGCCTGTGTGAGAGGCCGCTGCTGAGACACGCACCGTGCTGCTGCTCTGTCCTCAGCAGTCAACATGTAAGGTCAACATTTCCCCACCCCACCCCTGAAGATCTCAACTCTCTTATCCTGGGACACTTCACCCTTAAGCCCTCCTCTGCCCGTTTCCACTGTGCCTCCTAGAAAGGCTACTTCAGTCAATTCACCTACAGCCGGACCTTCTTTCAACATTCTGTCTGGTCCCTGCCTGGTACGCAGTCTGCCCTCTGTCATGCCCCAGGGCTGCTGGCATATTCCCTGACAGCTGTATCTTAACAAAGTTAGCAAACAGTGCCTCCTACCCCCACAGCTGCTTTCAGGTACTTCTCCCTCATGCTCCTAGAAGAGCAAAATAAAACCAAAAGCCTGTTCTATACTAGAGATCCCAGAAAAAAGCCTACAGACAAACAGTAATTGATTTTCAACAAGGGCATGAGAAACACATAAGGAACAAATGATGCTGAGGAAGAGAGGATGCCCACATGTAAAACAGTGAAATTAGACCTTTACTTTACACTATATGCAAAATCCAATTCAAAACACTTTATTCAAAAGGCAGAGTTATCAACAGAGAAAGACACACACGGATCTTTTATCTGTGATTTCACTCCCCAAATGGCTACAGGGGTCAGCACTTTGGACCATCTTCCACTGTTTTTCCTGGTGCATTAGCAGCTAGCCAGACCAGAAATGGAAAAGTCGGGACTAAAACTGCTATCCGTATGGGATCCTGACATGACAGGCAGACTAACTTCCTATGCCACAACATCAAGGCCTCAAGATAGTTTCAAAATTTACACAGCAGGCCTGAAATTGTAGAACAAAACAAGAAAGTTTTGTAACCCTGGTCTTAGCAATTATTCTTTTCACATGTCACCAACAGCACAGCAGAAGTAAATATGATTGCATCAAACCAAAAGGCTTCTGTGCAGCCAACAGTAAAAAGATAACACAGAGAATGGAAGAAGATATCTGCAAGCCATCTAAGAAATTAATAACTAAAATATAACAAAAATCTCCACAAAAAAACATTTTGGAGGGGTGAAACAGGTGAAGGGGTCTAAACAGACATTTCTCAAAAGAAAACACAAGAAGGGACAACAGGTGCATAAAAAACACACACTATCTATCATTCATCAGCAAGGAAATGCAAAGCAAAACCACAGTACAGTATCACCTGACACCTGTCAGAAAAACTAGTACTTAAAACAACATATGAAGGCTAATGCCATGACTCACAAATTCTCCAGCTTCGAGTGCCAAAACCACATACAGGCACCAGTTCATGTCCCTACTGCTCCACTTCCCATCCAGCTCCCTGAATATGGCCTGGGAAATCAGCAGAGGATGGTCCAAGTCCTTAGGTCCCTGCACCCACAAAGGAGACCCAGAAGTTCCCGGCTCCTGGTTTCAGATCAGCTCAATTCGGTCACTGCGGCCACGTGGGGAGTAAGCCAGCGGATGGAAGATCTTTTTGTGTAAATCTGCTTTTCAAACAAAAACAAATCAATCTTTAAAACAAAAGATGGCTCAGTGTTGTGGTTTAGCATGTTAAGTCACCACATGGGACACCAACAATTTCAAGTCACATATGCTCTGCTTCAGGTCCAGCTCCCTACCAACATGTACAAGAAAACAGCTGAAGATGGCTACAAGTACTAGGGCCCATGTGCCACATGGGAGGCAGCTCCCTGCTTGTGGCCTGGGAAAGCGGTCAAGGGCGGCCCAAAGCCTTGGGACCCTGCACCTATGCAAGAGACCCTCCGGAAGCTCCTGACTAATGGCTTTTGATCATCTCAGCTCTGGCCACTACGACCACTTGGGGAGTAAATCAGCTCTCCTTCTCTCTGTAAATCTAACTTTCCCATAAAAATAAGTAAATAAATAAACCTTAAAAAAAAAAAACCTAAATGTTCATCAATGGATAATCAATGGATAATGAATGAAGATGTGTCAGGAGCAGGAGTTATGGTGCACAGTATCCACCACTTGGGACACTGCCAGGCCACACTGGATTGCCTGACTCAAGCCCCAGCTACTCTGACTCTACTGTGTGTAGGAGGCAGCTTAGTACCCGAGCCCAAGTACTTGAGTTTCTGACATCCATGTGGGATCCCAGAGTTCCTGCCTCCTGGCTTCAGCATGGCCCAGCCCAAGCTTTGCAGACATTTGAAAAGTAAACCTGAACATAGGAGATCTTCGCATGTCTCTGTCACTCTGCACTTCAAAGCTGCAAGCCTCTAAGAAAATGTGCCAGAACATACAATGGAATACTATTCTGTCTTAAGTACAAAACACTGCTGTTTGCAACACAGATGAACCTGGAGAATAGCCTGTTAGGTGAAATAAGGCAGTCCCAGAAGGATAAATAAGCCATGATTTCAGTTAGATCATTATCTAAAATACTAAAACTTCTAGAAAGAAAAAAAATGATGTTTTAAACAATGGTCACTAATTGTGTAACAGGAATAGGGTCTAGAGACCTGTTCTGACATAGTGCCTGAAGTTTGCAATACTATGCTATGACATGCAAAATTTGTAAACAAGGGGTAGGCATTTGGCATGTGCATTAAGATTCCACTTAGGATGTCCACATTCCACATAAAAGACTTGACTGAATCCCAGCTCTGATCCCCATTCCTCACAACGCACACCTAGGAGGCGGGAGGCAGCAGTAACCTCAAGCAGCGGGGTCCCGGACACCTCATGGTTGGGCCCAGCCCTAGTGACTACGGACAATTAAGAAGTAGTCCAGAGGAGAATCAAGATGGCAGAATAGGGTAAGGACACGTTTAAACAGACGGAGAAATATTACCCAGTGTGATGCAGAAAGGGCACATTCCAAGAAATAGAAGGCAGAACAACAGCAGAGGGGTACCTGGAGACTGACAGACACAGGAAAGCAGTGAAAACAACAGTGTGGCGTTGCAGTGACTGATACTCCAGCAGCATTCAGTGAATGGCAAACTGAACTGCACCGCAGCTGAAACTACACCAGCAACAAGGTGGAAGGGACGGTTACTGAGAGTTCAGGAAGTGAACCCAAAGAACTGCCTATCCTGCTAGTCTGTATGATTTGACCAGAAGCAGAGACAGAGTGGCAGGTCCCAGACAGGCAGTGCGGGGAACAAGGTGGATTTCACAGCCAGGTCCACCTCCTAGAACCATATCAGGTGTCATTTTGTTTAAGGAGGCAAGGGCTTTGGACAGGACTGTGCATGCACTGAGCTGGGAGTGAACTCATTTCTGGCTCAGTGAACTGCAACAATGTGGCATCCTGCAGGTTCCACCCAAGAAAAGCCCAGGTAGCCCTCAGACCTGACAGCCAGCAGATCAAGAGCTCTAGTAGTAGCACCATTTCTTACTGTGTGGCCAAGAATTTAAGACTGCAGGGACAATAGTGAGCTGCACATGCGCTGAGCTTGGCAAGAACTCACTGAACTCATTGCACTGCACTAGTCCAACAGGAAAATAATACTATGACATTGCCCGGGTCAGAAGCGGCCCTCAGACTTAAAAGCCAACACGTTCTGGCAAGATCAGCACCAACAACAACCTAGCTATATAGGACACCTGGTCCCCCTAATCCTGGGAACTGCTCCAATCGAAAGTGGGAGAAAGGTTGTACAGACAACAGTGCAGCCTCAGCACTGTATCACAGCAGGTGGAGACTGATACGCCAGGAGCTGTGGCTACAGAGACCATGGTGGAAATCTAACTTAAGAATCCAGACCTGGAACTCACTGGAGGAGTGGCACAAGTGATTGCAAAGTGCCATGTCCCAACCACAATAAGTAAAATCAAACCGTAGACCTATGGGTGACACAATTAGAAACCTGCCCCAAGAAGAAGAATCAGATAACCAGAAGTACAATGATGAACAGCAAAAGAAGAGACAGAGGCACAACAAACAGTACTGAAGACTCCCCTGCAAAGGGGCAAAACCCTCTGCCAACCTCAGAGTTCATTGAGGAAGACATCGAAAAATGGAGGATACAGAATACAAAACACTTGTTATAAAACTTATCAACAACGAGAAGTATGTAAAGCAGGCATTCAAGGAATCTAAGGAACATGTCACGCTGGAAATGAATCAAATGAAAGCTGATATATCAGAAACAAAGAATACAGTAGAGCAAACTAAAAGTACAACAGAGGACCCAGTGCCATGGCATAACAGCCAAAGTCCTCACAGTGAATGCTCTGGGATCCCATATGGGCGCCAGTTCTAGTCCCAGCAGCTCCACTTCCCATCCAGCTCCCTGCTTGTGGCCTGGGAAAGCAGTCAAGGATGGCTCAAAGTCTTGGGACTCTGCACCTGCGTGGGAGACCTGGAGGAAGTTTCTGGCTCCTGGCTTCAAATCAGCGCTGTACCAGCCGTTGCGCTCACTTGGGGAGAGAATCATCGGATGGAAGATCTTTCTCTCTGTCTTTCCTCCTCTCTGTATCTGACTTT